CATAAGCCAATTTATAATAAAAAAAATAGATATGATAGTACTAATGATATTTTTTTATCATATTATATAATTTCATCTTGTGATGTTTTATTACTTTATATTAAACAGATTTTATTTCTAATTAGCATTGCTTAATAAGAAATTGCTAATCATCAACACTTGTGTAATCTACAAATGTATCCTTTAATAATCGTTAGCTGAACTACCATATAAGTGGTAGCTTTATAGTAATAAGTTATTAAAGCTAGAATATTTCTGTACTCCTACAAAAAATGCAGCTAAAAAATATTTGTTAGTATTACAATGTTACATAACATATTCCCTTACAAGAAGAGGAAATACATATCACTTTTTAATTATGATACTATATACATGTTCTATAAAACTAAGAGGCATATGAAGTACGAGTATTTTCAAATATAAAATTCGTATACCGCAGAAACAATGTAACTCTTATTCTATCTACTTAAAATTCAATGAATTATTTAAAACATGTTCTACTATTCCCAATGTTTTCGATTTCATAAAACCATAAATGTAATACGAATTTTATGTTATTATGCACAGTTATATTATGAGACCTAATTTTATAATTTTACAATTCGAGATCTATTATTTTGTATATATCAGGGGTGGCCATAGCGCGGCTCTCGCAGGCGAGTGGTGCCGCTCTTATGCAAATAAAACGTATGTATGAAATATGGTAAACTAAAACTGATCAATAAAACGGATCCAAAAGTAATTATTTTATTTCATTCAAGGAAGATCTGTGGGTAAACTTTAAAAAATTAAACTGATTTTTCAATTTCTCATTGTTTGTTTTGTTATCAAAGATAAATAAATGACTCTTTCAAATATTCCTTCCTAAAATGTGGCTTCCAAAGGTAGTGTAGCTGGCCATCCCTGGTATATATCTTCCTGAAACATTCCATTATAAACATGGAATCACTATATCTATTTAGTATTGCAGTTACGGCAAAGGGAAAGTAATTTATTTTTACATCTATGAAAACATGGTAGTTTCAAAAATGATATAAAACTATGCACTCATTATTTTTATGTTGGTAACATTCCATTTTTTTAAATTATATTGATTTTTATTTTCCGCAACTTTTACCATTTCTAGTTGTCTCAACTTATAAACTCTTTTTTGAAGTTATATATTTGCAACTTGGATACAGAGCTTCTCAACTAAGTAATATATAGAAAATAATATTACTTTTAAACTCATTTTTGTAGAAATAGTGTTCTCTTTTTATATAACATCAATAAAGAGAGTACTCTCAAGATTATCATATTGTTGATATTAATGAAACAACTAAAAGCTTTGCAACATAAATTTGTATACTCCCATATTTTTTACCAATATCATGTTGATTAATACAAATAACATGTTTGCTACCAAAAACAAAAATAGGATAGAGTCAAGATTTAAGTTATGGTAACTTATTAACAGACTAGTTGAAAAACAAGAAAATTTGAAAATCTAGCAATTACATTTTTAAAATAGTAATAAATGACATATTTTCCACAATTTGTTAAATAATTGTCAACGTTAACTTTATAAGTTACACAAAGAATCATAGAAAAATGTTCTGTGTAAGATATATGCAATTTTACATATTATTTATGTCTATGTAATTTTGAAAACTTTTTTTGCTTACCAAATGTCTTCACAAGTAAAAACAAAATAAACCTTGAGTCACTTAAGAGGCAAATATCTATTATATTGTGGCTGTTTCAGATTTTACCATGTCTACGCAAACGGTATGACTAATAGTAGAAACGTGTGCATTTCCATTATTGTCAGAACTAATAATATTTAAAGATGAAATTTTGGCACGTTGATATGCCACAACTGTATTTAAAGTTATAAACCTAAAAATAAATGTAATAACTGTAACCTTAATGTATATTATAATATGTACAGTGAATATAAAAGTCAACAGTTACTTATAACTTACCTTATACAAACATACATCACCAACAATGCAGTTCCAGCAGCAAGCATTCTAATAATTGGACCCTCTACCAATTGAATGAGTGTCCAAGCAGCAGCTGATGATCCACACATTGTTGTAACGATAGCAATAGTTTGCAAACAATGACGGGAAGTTATACTACCTTGCCAATCCAATCTACTTGCATGTTCAACATTGTATTTCGTACCACATACTTTGCAAGTAAGACAATCAGTATTTACAGAGCTCTGAAATGTATATATCATATGTAATAACATAATATATATAAAAATGTTTATACATGATGAAAATAATTTTGTACCTCGACCAGCCATCGACGTAAACAATTATGATGAACTGCGCTTACATCACCTCTACATTGACAAGGTTGTATTAATGGACCAGCATCTTGTCTTTCACTATCATAACAAATCCAACAATCTTTACTACTAATTGATGTTCCATCTGAAAATAGTGCAGCATCTTGCTCACTTTTATCTTGTAATTCGATTTCTTTTACATATTTAGAATGATCTAATTTCTTTAAAAGACGTTTTGGATTTAAAACCCATAGTTGCTCTGGACTAAAATGGTATTACCCCAACTTCGATAACACGAAAAACAATATCATGCCAATTTCTGCTGTATATAGGAACTCTAAAATAAAAAAACACGAATAATTATGAAACACATAAAACACAGTTATAGCAATTATTATTTTCATGTTTACTTAGTTTTCCAAAATTCACTAAGTGTTTCACTGCACAGAAATCCAACAACAATAAACAGCATAAAAGCTTGTGATAATAATCCAACACGAGACTGATGCAACTGAGAAATATTTATTTGTTCTTGCACTTGAGATACTTTTGATGTACTTGGCACAGGATCAAATAATTTTGCAGTAACTTGTTCTTCAGCATTTACTTTTAAATCAGAGACCATACGTTTATTCAAAATTGTACTACTTCGATATTCATTCAAGAAGCCACCTCGAATCTAAAAGAAATCATTTTAGCATAATACGTATTTACTAAAAAGTGTTTATATTATTTCCAATTTGGTTTAGAATATTTCAGAATATTAATTGATAATTTTTAAATCACCTTACCTTAAAGTATATTTCTACTCCATAGATTAATAAGAAAACCACAACAATGAATAAGAGCACAGCATAACATCCATTA